TTTTTTAATTATATTTTTTAATATTTTAATTAGATTAATAATTTTTAAATTATATTTTTAGAATTAATACTATTTTAAAATCTACTTTTAAATATGAAAATTTTGAAAATTATTATTTAATAATTGAAACAATTAAGGAATGCAAATCTTTAGTTACATATTTTAAACAAAACTCTTTGTATTTAAAATTGAAAAAAATTTTAAAACAAGAATCTAAAATAAGATGAAATAGTAAGTTAGAAATATTGAAATCAGTTTATAATCAATTTGAATTAATTAAGGATACTCTTAATAATAAAAATAAATTATATAGAATTGAAAATATTGATTTTGATATTTTATTAGATTTAATTAATTTTTTTAAAATATTTAAAAAAGCATATAACTATTTAGAATCTTCTAAAAATCCTACTTTAGATTTAGTAATTTCTTGGTATAAAACTCTTAAAAAACATTGTAAAATAAGTCAACATAATAGTAAAGTTTTAAAACAAATTAAGATAATAGTTAATGAAAAAAATAATTCTTAAATATAAAATTGAAGAGTTATATAAATTAGCTATTTTCTTTAATCCAAAAATGAAATAACTTAAAATTTTAGATTCAGATAATATATTATGAATAAAAGATCAAATTAGAGAATATTATTCTTTAATTTATGAAGTTAATAATATTGATTCTAATGATAATAATGATGATTTATATGAAGAGTCTCAAAAAAGATTAACAAAAAAATTATGTAAAAAATCTAGTAGAAAATTTATAGATTTTAGTGAATATTATAATTCAAATGATAATAAAAATAGTTTGAATAAAATTAAGCAATATTTAGCTTATAAAGTATCAAAAGATACAAATTTAGATATTTTAAAATAGTGAAAAGATCATGAAAAAGAGTATTCAAAACTTTCAATTTTATGTACATTTTATCTTTCAATTCTAATATCTAGTACATCAAGTGAAAGAGAATTCATTGTATTTGAATTGATAATTAATAAACAAAAAACAAATTTAAATTCTAAAACACTTAAAAGTATTCTTATTATACATAGTATTTTAAAATAAGATAAAAATATTTATTAATAAATTTTTTAAATATTAATAGTAAATTATTATTAATTTTATAAAAATAATTTATATTATATAGAATTATTTAAATTTAAAATATAAATTTTATATATATTATTTTCTTAAATTTTTAAATATAAGTTTTAGTTAAATTTTAAATTTTTATTATATTTTTAAATATTTTATAAATACTTTATTTTTTATTAAATATAAATAAACTAAATTAAATTAATAAAGTTTAAGTTTGTAATTAAATAATTAAAATAAATAATTTATAAATTATTTAATTTATAAATTTTAAATTTATATAATTTAAATTATTTAAAGATTATATATTTATAAATTAGTTAGTTTTAAAATTTAAATTAAATAAAACAACTCAAAATAAATTATAAATAAAATTTTTTAAATTTTAATTCTAATATAAAATATTTATAGTAAAGTTTTTATATATTATTTAAATTTTATAATTTAAATATAAAATAATATAAATTTTCTATAAAAATATTTTATATTAAATATATATTTTATATTATAAGTTTTGATTAAAAAGTTATTAATTATTTTTAGCTAAAATTTAATTATTATAACTAAAAAACTAATAAATTTTAGTATTTAATATAGTATAAATTAAAGATCTGCTACAGTTTAGTTTAGTCTAATTCAGTTTGCAAATTTTTGTAAATTTTATAATTGCAAATCAGAATAAGTCAAAAAATTCTTATAATTTAAAAATAAATTTTACAGTTTAAGTTAGATAAATTAAATTAAAAAATATTTATATATATGTAGGCCAGGCTAAGTTGGCAAAAAAATTTTAAAACTAATTGCAGATCAGGCTAGGCCAACAAAAAAATTTTAAAACTAATTGCAGGCTAGGCTAAGCCAAAAAAAAAAATTTTAAAACTAAGTGTAAGTTGGGTTAGGCTACAAAAATAAGTAATTTGCAGACTTCTAATTTTAGATTCCAATTGTAATAATGAATCTGAAACTGTTGAGTTAATATGAAAATATTTGATCTTGAATCTTTGTGCTATCTTTTTTTGTAGTAACTATTTTTGTATATAAATGCATTTTTTTTTAGAGAGTTAGAAGAGAGTTGGCAAATAGAATAATCATCATTAGTAATAACTGTAATAGTAATAAAAACTGTCTTAATAATAAACTAAGACTTTGCACTTATATCTTAGTCTTGCCAAATTATTTATCTCTTCTATGATGCAATGTTTTATAATGTTTGATATTTTTGAGTTACAATCTGTTATATTTTTCTTAACTTTGTATTCTATGAATCCCAAACTCTCTAACAAACCAAATAAAAATCTAAAATAGTAAATTTTTAATTACTATTCTAAGCTTTTACTCGAAATTACTTATTTTCTTACTTATAGATATTATTTATTATATTAAATTAGTAACATTTTATTGATATTTATTTAGATATAATATTTGTTATCCTTATAATTATCTAATTTTGAACTAGAAACATTTATAGATAGAGATAAAATAATCAATTTTAAAGATTTCTTGAATGATATAACTTATTTATATTTTATTTGTTCATTATTACATATTTCAAATATTCTAATATACTATATAATAGATTCATATTTATTCAATTAATATATAAAGAACATATGCTATTAAATTAGAATTTATATTTTATACAATAGATTTTAAAATATAGAACTAATTTTTTTTTGTTAACTTTTTATTTTACTTTAATAAAATTAATAAAACTATATATATAGTAACTATCTGAATTATAGATTGATAGTATATATTATATATAAAATAAATATTGTAATTTTATTACTATAATTTAGATATAAATTATTATATCAAAAGCATATTATGTAAATTAAATATTTTATAAAATTATATATATATAATAAATCAGATGTTTTATAAAATTATATATAAGTTTGTTATATTAAAAAAACTTGGTAAATTAAAATATAGATATAACAAAGCAAAACTTCCAGCTTTAGAGCTTTATTATATTAAGATTATACTGTATACAGTAACTCAAGATATTATATATTAAATATATATACTTATTTATAATCTCTTGATATAACTACAATAAGTTGATCTTTAATAATCAGTTGGCCTAATTATCTTACTAACACCAAATTGATTATAATTATTTAATTTCTTATTTGTGATTATTTAGTTTAAATATAATAATCATTTATTAACTAAAATACTTAAAATTATTTCTTATTTATATGATTTATTTCTAAACATTGAAATAATTTATTTAATTAAATTGCTTAAATTAACTATTCAAGTTTATATTCTAATAAAGCATTATATTGTGAATTGTATGTTTTTTATTTATTAAAAATAGATATCTAAAAAGTTATTTTGAATTGTATTAGTTAGAAGTTGTCTTGATTGAACATATATCTGGGTATAAATTTTTTTTTCACATTAATGTAATTCTAAGATAAATAATTTATTTTGTTACAAAATAATTTATTTGTTATGTTTACAAATAAAAAGAAAATGTTAAACATCATAATATAATAATTTACCAGAAGCATAACAAGGATGTTTAGCAAATAATTATATTTAAAATTTTTAGAAGTTTATATCAAGTTTATTTGAATCTTTATGTAGAGTAGGAATTTAGTGATTATTTTATTAATTTATTATTATTATTATTCTACTTTTTTTTTTTATAAGGCAAAACTACAATTTTTTTATATTTTTTAAATTATTAAACAATGTAAGACTTTGTAATTATGCAAGTACTACTCTTTCTAAATCTTAAACTTCTTTGTTGATCAAGTTAATCCTTATATTTCCTTTCTTATATGTTCAGGTTTTCTTATTTTATCTTTTATATCATTATTACTAAAACCTTCTAGCAGTAATATCTAAGCCTAGTAGATCATATACATATTTTTTCTTCTTAATAATTATGATCATTGTTACAGTTTGGTAATCTACATACTAATTTTGGAAATATTACTTTTACCTCATAAAAATTTCTAATTATTTCTTATTTATATTAATTTAATCTAAATATAGTATAATTTTCTAATCATATTGTTTACAATTAACTATTTTGAATTTATAAACTAACTAAGCATTATATTGTGAACATTGTGATGAATTACATACTTTTTTAATTCAAAATATAGAGTTGGATCAGTCCTGAGAAGACTGGCTAAATACTAGTCTTTTTATCAGTTATATAGTTTTAGTTTTTAATCTTTTAAATACAGTCAAATCTTGATATAATTACTGAACTAGTAATCAAAATATAATGTAACTAAGATGATAGTGTATATACAAAAGTTAATTTTCTTATATTTATAATAATTGTTAAAGAATTATTTTTATATTTTGTAATTATATTAAAAGTGACTATATCAAGGTTTAACTGTAATTAAATTTTTTATTCATATTGATTTAATTTATAATAAGTAATTTAATTTTGTTATTTCTTATTTGTGTTAATTCAGTCTAAATATAACAACAATTTATCTAATCAAAATGTTTAAAATTAACTATTCAAGTTTATGAGCTAACAAAGTATTATAATATGATAAATTACTTTCCTTTTGTTTATTAAAAATATAAATTTACAAAGAATATTTTAAATTGTATTAGTTGAAAATTTGCACTGTTTGGGTATAAGTAATAGTATTTTAAAAGATTAATCTGGTCATTTAGTTATATAGTTTAAGTCTTTTGAATAATCAATAACTTATAATTCTAAGAACCATTTTTGAAACTAAAATTAGATTAAAAACCATAATAGATCAGTCTTATTAGAGACCAAGTTAATGTTAATTAATTATTAATTGAAGTGATGATTCAGACTGAAAACTTTATTTTAGTCATTAAATTTTTATTTACTATTATTGTGGGTTCTTTTAATATAGTCACACTTTTTTATAATCATTTTCCAAAACTGGTGATTATATCAATGTTAGACTGTATATTGATACCAAACTATTGAATAAATTCTACTAGGATCAGTTTTATTTATATTAAAGAAATAATACAAGATACAAAATAAAATCTAACCATTACAATTGGGTAAAATACTATTGAGTCTTCTTTTATATACTGTGAGGTCCAATACTGTAACATAAATACTCTGCCGGGACCTCACGTGAGAACAGGTATGACAATCAATTCCTTGATATGGATATCCTGGCAATTAATCACATTAATGCGATTAATTAAATAAATCAAGGAAGTGGGATTAATTAGATAAAGAGGATTAATTAGATAAAGGAGATTAATTAGAGAAGGAGGATTTATTAAATAAATGGGTTTAAGTGAATAAAGTAAAGGAATCGAATTAAAGGGTTTAATGAGATTAATGTAATTAATGAAGTTATAATTAAAAAGATATTATAAATAAAGGC